TTCTCCTCCTCCTTTAAACAACAACAGGGCAGCAATGATCGCTATCAGGAATTTTTTTTCTCTTCTTTTTTAAAGGTTTTTCATTCTTCAAGGAATACATTTCCTTCTCCCCATACTGTGTTTGCCAGTCATTTCTGTGGCTGGTCATTCGTTGATTAAAGAATATGGAAAGCAGGAACTGGACTTCTAAAATGTGACAGTGCTTTTAGCTGACCTCGCAGTTTTTCGGGGGGGGGGGGTCTGCCCTTGCTCGTCTTTTTAACTAAAAGTTGGTAAACTGGGAATTATGAGTCATCTGGAAGAGGGCAATTGTCATTCCCTCGTTCCACCTGGCCAATACTTGCAGTGAATATATATAAAGTGGTGGCGCAAAAATTCGTCATGATGGGCACCTTCAAGAATTGCTCCACCACTCTAATTATTCCTGCCCCAGGCATTATTTTTCTACCAGCATTTTTCACAATCTGGGTTTCAGTGCTTTAGGAATGGGAGGTTTTAACTCCTTTGGATTTAAATGTTCTGGGGTTTGTGTTGCACGTTGGGGGATTTTTCTGCATAACGTTTTTCAGTTGTGAAATCTTTTGAGGGTTTTCACCAGGGCTGGGAAGGACCTACCTGTCCCTGTGATAAATAGTAACTAAAACCAAAACAGTGAAGCAACACAGTGAAAAACTACACTTACAGCAAGATGAGTCGATAACAATTCAAAAAGAGTCCAAGGTGTTTCCAGCCATTAGTTCTCATTCCAAAAGAGCAAAGATTTCCTCCCGGAAAGTCTCTCTTTATGGTTCTCCGTAAGAAGGGAGAGAGGACCAATCAGGGAAGTCCTAAAAGATAGATTAGTGGAATCCCTTGTTCATTTCAAGCCATATTCTTAGTCTGTTGTCCCTAAGTGCAATGGTGAGCTGGCTGGAAAATAATTTCTTTGGAAATTCAAGAAAAATGAGGTAGGAAAAGCTTGCCAAACCTGGATCCGGGAATTCTTTCCCACCCCTTAATGGTAGCTCCTGTGGGTCACATGACTGGGAGGGAAGAGGCGGGCTTAGAATGGAGCAGTTGCCAACATTCCAAGCCCCTGCCCGACCTCCCCTCCCATGAGGATGCATTGGGAGATTTGGGGAGGGGGATTTTTCTCTGCAGCCCCCAGCCAAACCCAGCCTGGTCTGTAACTTGATCTTTCTTTTGCCGGCTTCCGCACCCCACGAAATTTGATCCCATTCATGAGTCCAGTTTTGAAGAATCCTCCTGATGCTGGAGAGGGACCAGCCTCCCTTCTTTCTTTCCAACCCTCTGTTGGGTTGGAGAGAAAGCAGAGGTTTTTTTTAAAAAAAACCCTTTAAACAGCTGGTTAATTCTTTGGAATGTGTTTTTATCACGGAATAAGATGCTAAATAGCCAGGCACAAGGAAAAGTAGATATAAATTTAAAATCTAAATGTCAACAAATGAAAATGCATGCTTTCTTTCGAGAGTTCCACTGGGCTGGAAAGAATAAAAACTATGAAGGTCATGCAAAATTAGCCCCAGGGCACGCTCTTGCCCTCTGACTTGGTTGCCCTCCTCCCTGTTAGTTTTGCCTTTCTTTGCATCATCATCATCGTCTAAGTTTGTACATCGCTTACTCCCAGCAATTCTCCCTTCCCCTCCCATGACTCTTCAAACCTTTCTCTTCCCTTCCCCAAGACGTAGACGAGTGTTCAGCAATCCCTCAGCCTTGCGGGGAGGGTCACCTCTGCATCAACTCCCCTGGGAGCTACCGTTGTCAATGCCAGGCGGGCTACTATTTTGATGGCATCAGCAGAACTTGCACAGGTAAGAGCCAGGGGTCAACTGTGTCGTTCCATCGGGCATAGATTGGAATGGAACAGGCCATTGGGGCAGCAAATTCGTATTTCGTTGTTGACTTTGTTGCACCCAGTGGCTGTGTTTCAAGATGCTCGACCTTCCAGTAAGGTTGTCTTTGTCTTAGGGCGTGGTGGGAATCAGGACATGTCCATCTGTTTGGAGGTAGCCTGTTATTATGAGTGCCCTATTTGTTCCTGTGAGAATGGGCTGGAAAAAAGGCAAGAGCAATATATTTTTCTCCACAATAGCCCCCCCTGCCCCCTCCTGGAAAAGCCACCTTTCAGAATCACCCCATATTATCTTCCTATCAGACAATAGTCTGAGTTTCTGGAGCTCAGATGGTCCTAGAATACTAGATGGCCACGTTGGCCCAGGAAGAAATACTGTCTTGTTCCAACTCAGTTATTTTTATTTTTGATTTGATCTGATTCTATGCTGGTCCAATCAAGGACTGTCTCTGAGTATCCTACAGTCGCACCATGCCTGAACCAGATAAAAACAACTAAGAAAATAGGCCCAGATAAATCACAAACATGAACACCCACAAATTGAGCACAATAATAGCAAAATATTCCTATGCCAAGGAACAATAAAAAACCATCTACAGTAGTCATATTCTCACACACTGCAGCAGTCTCTCTCAATTCATCTCCCCCCACCCAAAAAAAAGGCTTGCTGAAATTAGAAGTTTTTCTAAATCTGAAAAATATTGGAGCAAGTTGACTCTCCAGGGAAATGGTGTTTCAGAGGAAGGGGCAGCAATCAAGGAGGTCCGGTTCTGAGAACTCGGTAGGTGATATATTTTAAGAGAGGAAATCTGGAGGGCATTTGTCCTCCCCAGCCTGATTATGATTCATGCCCTTTGATTCGGATTGAAATTTGGGAGATACTTTGTAGGGCCAATATCTTTTGAAGGGTACACGTTGGGTTTAAGGGGGAGTTAAATCACAGCGACATGATCGTTCAGACGAAATGGATAAAATGTTTTTAAGGACACCCAGTTTTGCTACCTAGGCACAGAAAAGTTAACCGTGGCTTATTCGTCTCCCCAGATATTAATGAATGCCGCCGATACCCTGGTCGCCTCTGTGCACACAAGTGTGAAAATACCGCTGGGTCGTATTATTGTAGCTGTGCAGTGGGATTCAGACTTTCATCTGATGGGCGGTCTTGTGACGGTAAGGTGCTCTGAATCACCAAGTATATGCTCTCTCTCTCTCTCTCACACACACAGACACACACAGACAACACATTTACTCACATGAGCCAGCTGTGTTATGCAGCTGCAAAGAAAACCAATACAGTTGTAGGCTGCGTGAGCAGAAGAATAATTTCTGAATCACAGGAAGTAGCCATTCCACTTGATTCTGCTTTGGTTAGACCCCACCTGGAGTGCTGGGTCTTATCTGGACACCAAACTTTCAGAAGGATTCAGAGAAATTGGAAGAGGTGGGGCAAAGGATGACAAGAGGACTGTATGAAGAGTGACTGAAAAAGCGGGGTGGGTTTAGCCTTGAGAAAGGGCAACTGAGAAAGGACATGATAGCCCTCTTCTGAGAACCAGTGGGCAGGGATGTCTGCCTGAAGATGTCGAAAGAGTCAAAATGGTGGCCGTGATGAAGCCCCACCTCTTTTTAGGTATCTGTTCTGTCTTATCCCAAAGTGCAGGGTGTGGAATAATGGACATTAAGTTACAGGATGGCAGATTCTGGTTAGGTATTAGGAAAAAGTTCCCAAGACCGGTTCAGCAGTGGACCCAGTGATGCAGAGAGGTGATGGACACCCCTTCCGTGGACGTGTTCCAACCAAGGCTGGACAACCATCCGTCGGGGATGCTTTGATCGGGCTCCAGGGGCTCAGGGGCCCCTTCCAGTTCTAGGGTTCAGTGGGGCTGACACCTCGATAAAAGGCCATAGGATTTCTGTCTTGGAGGGTCTGTGTGGTGTAGAACCTGGAAGCTCAGATGAGGTCCACCCTGGATTCAGAGCTTCTTCACGAGGTCCCTGTGTGGATCAAATCGACAGAGGGAGGGCCAGTCCTTGAAGAAAAGCAGGGGATGAACGGAAGGTGTCTTGCTTGGTCCTGACACGTATCTCTGGGTTTCAGACATCAACGAGTGCGAAAGCAGTCCCTGCAGCCAGGAGTGTGCCAACGTCTATGGGTCCTACCAGTGCTACTGCCGTCGCGGCTACCAGCTCAGTGACATAGACGGGGTCACCTGTGAAGGTGAGTGGCAGTCGTGGCCTGCCCTTTTCATTTCAAGCTTTAGGCAGTGATTTCAGACCATCAATCAGCCTGGCTCGGTAGGGCGGCTGTGACTGGCAACTGCTCTCTGAGAGCTCACGATGCTCCTGGAAAATCTGCTTGGAAATGAACAATTCAGCAACGAGTCCATCCGAGAACCCCCTCTTGTCCCTTAGCATTAATTTGCACAAAGGGTGCATAGCTACACAGGAACAATGGCCTGGCTTCATAGATCGTCATCAGGAGAGACGATGGATCATCCAGTTCCACTTGGATATTTAACAGTGGGCTCTATTTGCATCCTTTCCTTTCCCTTTCCCTTTCCCTTTCCCTTTCCCTTTCCCTTTCCCTTTCCCTTTC